GGGCAGGACAGGCTTGTGTAAACCATGTGAACGTTTGCAGTAAAGTCTCTGCAGGCCGACACACCTGGATGCAGTCAGCGTGTCCCTCAGCAGCCGCAGAGTGAAGAGGACTGATCCCGCTGTCGTTTACGTCTGACATGGACGTAACAGGAAGCAGCAGCTGTAAGGATCTGAACCGAAAAAAAAAAAAACAAGTTCAGAAAAAGAAGGAACACAAATTAAATGAAAAAATAACATGCAGATTCATTTATCTCCCCTCCCAAATGAGGGTCTTTGTTCTCTGTTGTGCATCAATTGATAACAATTCCTCTAAATTTGTAAAACTTACTTGTGGCGTTCCTCAAGGTTCCATTCTTGGCCCACTGCTATTTCCTATTTACAAGTTACCTCTTGGTCAAATTATTCTCAAATATAATAAATATATCTTTTCACTTTTATGCAGATGATACCGAAATATATTTATCCWTTGATCCTTCTGATCTGTCTGCTCTAAACATACTAAGTTCTTGTCTCACTGATGTTAAGGTCTGGATGTCTGATAATTATTTATTGTTAAACAATAATAAAATGGAGGTGTTGGTTTAGGGTCCTAAGGCTCATAGAGACCCTATAATTCAAATTCTTAATTCTTCAGGTTTTACTTGCTCCCATGAAGCTAGAAACCCGGTTCTAGTGGTTATGTTATGTGGTTAATGACAACAGTGCCCAATTTTATGCACCTGCCTAATTTTGTTTAAACAGTTATTGCACACTTTCTGTAAATAATATCAACTTCATTTCACTTCTCAAATATCACTGTGTTTGTCCCCTATATGATATATTTTACTGACATTTTTACTCCAATCAAACAATGATTTATAAAGGTAAATCAGGAAAATTAACAAGGCTGCCCAAACTTTTTCACGACTGTAAAAATGATACTTTTACTTCTTTACTTTAAAATAACACCTAGTTACTCATTAAAAGATTACATCTGAACTCATCGTGAAAGGAGTTGTTTGTGCACTCTAAAAAAGGAAGTGTTGAATTTGCTTAACAAGTCAACTTGTTCCACTGAACCTCATATAGGAAATACGAAGTAATATACACATATACCTATATATACATCTACGCTATATATATATACACTCACCGGCCACTTTATTAGGTACACCTGTCCAACTGCTCGTTAACACTTAATTCCTAATCAGCCAATCACATGGCGGCAACTCAGTGCATTTAGGCATGTAGACATGGTCAAGACAATCTCCTGCAGTTCAAACCGAGCATCAGTATGGGGA